CATATCCATGTATTTTGGTGGATAAATTCATGAACCACTCTTTCACTGACTTAGCAGGAATGCTTTTTGGTTCTCCTTTTATTATATGACATGAGATTCGATGTTTATGCAGCCATCCAGTTGAAAAGCAAGCTTCCTTTGCATTCAGTCGAAGTGCTTTTTCTTTTGACTTCTCAATCAGCATGGGGCCATTCACTGGAATATTAGATGCATGACAGTGAATGAAAAATTTTAGGAAAATGGCTTTGACCTCAGGAAAATTTCCATCTTGAGGATGCAGTTTTTTTAAGTGGACTGTCCGTAAATTTTTGCTCTGTCTTCAATTCAATGTATGATAAATAACCGTTTTTAGTGTTGTCACAGTAATATCCAGTTTCTTTGGTAACTCAGCTTTAGTCAAACCTATATTCTCATCAAAGTCTTTTAAGGTATGAATTTTATCTTGTAATGAGAGTGCCTTTCGGTTTCATGACATTTTGTATTAGTTAATCCTGCTCCACATAGGTTTTACTTAACACAGTGTCCTGTTCAGAAGAAATTGCATCTATTTTTCCTTCCAAGTATCGCCATTGTTCATGAACTGCTGCAAAAACACAAACAACAAATGAGACTTTTCAGCTCCTGTGTCAGACTGTAATATCTCATGCCTTTGTTTCCTTCTCCAGTCCTTATATCTGGGCAAAATAATTGAACGGTGAGACTGCGAAATGTAAATTAATAGCCCCACTGTTTGTGAAATGTAAATTTGCAATTATTTCCATTCTTTGAATTCATTCAGAGACTAGAACTTAACTCTTTGTTCTTCATAATTTTTGATATAATAAAACCAATGCCGTAAGTCATACAAACGCGATGTATAAAAGAAATATTTTACTATTAAAATAAATAGGACTGATGATGAAACGGCCTGTAAATGTAAAAGGCTGAGAAATATATAAACAGTGTTCTACTGTACATATAATTGATTAATATTATCGGAGTAGCAATTTTACCAAATAATTTGCCAGATTTTATTGCATTGGCTTTTTATATCCTATTGGTGTTTCTTTCATCTTTGATAATTCCAGTGTGGTTCATGTTTGGGCATTACTTCAATGAAGAAGATTTAAGCTTTACAAACAAAACTGTGTTATTTTCCTTAACCAGTTTCTCTCGAAACTTGTCATCCTTTTAGGTATGTAATTTTGAAGTGTTACTTTTTTATGCATAGAGAGCTTGTTAAGCAAATACGTGGTTTACTAATTTCTATAAAATTTGTATAGAGTATTGTGGCATATTTGATGCTTATGGAACATATCCGAAATAAATTTTCACAATTCCCCTCTTCTTTCATTGCTGCATTATTACTAAATTCTCTGACACACTATTCTAGCATGCTTTTGTATGATAATTGATTGCTGTTTTGAACTTAAAGAAAGTTAAGTTTTTAATTTTGCCTGCATATATAATTTACTTGGGTTCTTGTAAAGAACTTTTTTATATTTAAAATTGTAGTTCCATAATTCTACTGGTCTCTATTTATAAATATATAGTTCTGTAGCCCTAACCGCATGTATACTTTCCTTAAATCTGTGTAATGATATTGTTTGGTACTTTTTGTTAGCTTGCACTATTATTTTTTTGATACATTATCTTCCTTCTGATTATCTGTAACAAAAGAAGACTATCAATCCTTCATATTCTGGTAGCTTTTCTTAGGATCATTGCTTATGTGCACCATAACTCCAATGGTGCCACAATAATGATCTGCATCGATTTCCATCATAATCCTACTTTTGTATTTGAGACTGTGCAATGGGTATTTCGACTTAATGCATGCTGTTAGAAAGACTTCTAATACAAATTATTATTGAATTCTGATTCGAATAGTCTTTCAAGAGCTTCAATAGAGTAGTGTGCTGAAGTGGTTGCTGAATCAGATCAAAAAGTGCTAGACCGCCGAGGGTTAGTAATGCGTATCTTTAGCAACAACAACTGCAGATTGGAATACTTTTTTTTTTAAATGAAAGGTAGAAGCTTGGTAATAATTACTTTAATAAATGCCATTTAATAAAGCTTAGTTATTTTCCTATTCATTCTAAAATTTAAATAAGTATTGCTTTTAAAAATGCAAGTAGATTCATCCAAAAATAAAATAAAATTTATTATTTTTTTTTTACATGTATGGAATCTGTGAACAAGTTAGTAATTTTGCATCTGCATGCATTTATTCTGTTCAGTATGAATCCCCCTCATTAGTTTTACTTGAATTTATAGATTGCTTGATTTTTAAATCCTTATTTGACTCCTGCTGTTAAAACAGCATGACTGATAATGTATATTGTTATTTAAAGTTGGCAAACTTTAGTGCATATTTTCTCATATGTTCTTTTGATAGCTAATATTAAATAAAATAATCAATTTTTGTAATACCATTAATTATTACATAGAGCATAAATTATGCATTTGTGAAAGTTACATAATTTTATTTAAAGTAATCAATGAAATATTTTGGTGTTTAAAAAATTAATTAATGGTGTAAAGGCTTCTTGGAACATTAGGCTGTGTGTGTTAGTGATGCCATAAACCCGCTTCTGTTTTCCCTTTATTCCAAACCTGTGATACTGATATTGCTGTGATAACAACAGTGTACAGTTTTTATTAATTAATGTGTTGAATGTAGTATGTAAACTAAGATATCTTAAAAGAGAATTAATAAGAGCTGTTCTTTTTTTCAATAAAGAAGAACCTGAAGAAATTTTTTTTTTTTTTTTTTTTTTTTTTAAGATCTAGATCATGAACCATTAATTTTTAAATGTCAAGTCTTTGGTTGTCGAAGCCCGTTTCAGTATGCTAGGAATTATCACATTCCACTCTGTGTTTTGTCATGGCATCAGGCACAGTATTCCCCATACTTTTCATATTGTGAGAAAATTTTTGGTTTTCAATTTAATAAATGAAAACACAGATATATATATAGATAGATAAACAAGATAAACATTTATTCCAATTTTTAGATCATACGTATAAAAGAAGCAATTTAAAAATTTTTAATTTTATAAAAAATTATGCATAAAACCAATTGAATACAACAAATAATATAAAATAATTTCAACGTTTTTAGCTTTCATTGATTTTAATACCTGAATCTGTAAAGATATTTTACAATTAGAAAAGTGATTGTGAAATAATAAATAAAATTTATCATTTCTGGTATATCTCCATTGTAGCGATAAGCTACAATATTCTTTTTTCAAAACAAAGGCACTGTTGAAAATTAAAAATATTATACTTATTAGTTAATAAAAAATGTTATACTTACTTACTAATTTAAAAAAGCCCTTCCCCCCCAGTTGCCGAATGGTAAAGTCCCTGAACGCTGGTAGTTCGGCCCTGGGTTCGAATCTCGGTGAACGGGCTGACTACATGGGCGTTTTTGTGATTCTCTCCGTGTGTAATCTGTATATGAACTAGTTTCCATGAGAAAGTCCTCTCTTAGCAAAGGCATCCCTTCCCTCAGATAGCACTCGAGTGATTTGCTCTAATAAATTAAACCAAACTAATTTAAAAAAGAAGATAAAATGTAAAAAGTCCAAAGAAAACTAACACTTCTAAAATAATAAAGTTAAAATGAAACACTTCTTTCCAAGCAGAGAACAAACACATTACCAGAAATGCATTCTGCATGCATTTCAGTGGCAGTGCAAGTGATCTGATGTCCTGCTACATTACTTAATTTATTGTATGTGCAATTTAAACTACTCTGTTTTATGAGGGGGGTTCCAATTTCTTTTTAGAGTTATTTTTAATTGTATTAACTATATAAAAGCTGACAATATTTTATAGCTCTTAAACCTCAATTTCATAATTTTTCATGCAGCTACATATAACTAGATTTTTGGAGGGTGCCAGCAAAATTTTCTCAAAAGCAACTACTAAGTAAGGATGCATTTTGCATTGAATTATTAATATGTAATTAATACGGGGCATCAGTTTTAATGATGTCCTGGCGATTTGAAAATAACTAAGCTAGGCATGCATGATGTCGGTGATTAGCATGCCCATCTAGCAAATGGGAAATATGAGTTTTCAAATCCTTGTGTGGGCATGGTAGATTTTTTTATGTTTGTTTGAAAACCATAATAATTCTTATGTCTGTATATAACTCGATTAATTTATGTCTATATATTAACGTGTATTGCATGTTGAAACTCAGTAAATTTCAGCAGATGGCTCATTATTGAAAACTAGTGCACCTGCAAATGATTAACATATATGCATAATATCTGGGACAAAATTGTAGATTTCTGTAATTATTGATTCATATTGGATAAGTGGAATATTTTTAAAAACACAAATTAAAACTGCTTTTGGCGAAACAATTGTAGACGGAATTGATGTACAATAAATGAATTTCTTCACTTTCAGTTTGTAGTCCTAATATGAAATCAGTAAATATCCTAATTTAATTGGAATAACTCACTCTTGCTCAATCTAGACTAGTTCTTACTACATGGGAGTTTTCATTCTTTTCCTCATGTGTAACATGAATACAGTACAGTTCCCTTTGAAAGTTGTCTATGAATGCATCCCTCCACTTAGGTACCACTCATATGCTTTGTCATAGTTAAATAACTTAACCTAAAATTTCAATTATAGATAAAATTGCTTTCTTTATTTAAATAGATGGTAAATGTAGACTATTGGATTCTGCTTTATTTCTTTGTGTTTAATACACTCCATTTCTGCAAATTTAGTGAATTACATTGACAAACGCATTGATCAAATCAGCTATCCTTAAGGAGCTTCTTTAGCCTTTATTTTTAAATCTGTCAGCTTAACATTTGTTATAAAAATAATCATATATATCTTTGCTTTAAAAGTGTAATTTGTTTCTTTTAAGTGTGATGGTAAAATATACGTAAGTGATGAATTTTGATGAATGTGTATTTATTTTTTTAATTTATGCTATGACTATAAGTAGCTAGTGATATCTGATTGCTCATTTATCATCTTTGCAGTGAAGAAGATTCAAGTGCTTTGAAAAATATGACATATAGCTTTGAATGTATTAGATGTATGGATGAATTTGCAAGTGAATTCCGTCCAACTATTAGGGAAGGTATTAGGTACTGGAACATGACAGTCCAATATTGGTTAGCAATATACATATACAGAAAAACAGATGCTTCTAAACCTGTTAAGTAAGTAATGTTTATAAACAAATTATACAAATGTTTAGTTCTGTAGTATACTTCTCAGTTTTAAGTAGATTTTTCAAAATTCTGCCATTAGTAACCTTATTCAAGAGTTGTAATTACTTGTAAATCCTTTTCTTTTGTTGAGGAAATAATTTAATGCAGTATTAGACCAGCAAGGCATTTCATGAGAAATCCCATGTTTATTGCTTGTAAATGTACAATTTATTAAGAAATTGGCTTAAGTCAAAATTAGTGTAATAAAAGGTTTTTCTAAATATTTCTTTGCTTCATTAAAACAATTGAAAGTTAAGTACTTTGTTTAAATGTAACAAATACTGGCTTCTGAAAGTTATGACCACAAAGAAAATTAGCAATTTTGCTGTGTGTGGTTGAATTTGATTTGCTGAAAATAACTGTAGATGCAGATGAAAGTATGTAAATGCCATATGTTATAGTCCGTCACAATTGACTGTTCAAGCATATGCTAATTAGTCATTAAAGATGTCAGCATTCTGAAACGTTTGAGGAGGTTCATTTAAATAATGATATGAAGTGTTTATAACTTTCATAGGATAATTTTTGCTAATATTCAGGTTCTATGGCTGAAAGAAGATGAATCACAGATAATGAGCACTGGTGTACTGTCGGGTGCATTCAAGTCGGACAGTAAGAGGTGTTGCTCTTTGCCATTCATCATTCAGTAATTTCTCAAAATGTGTAAGCTATACTTAAAAGTCAAATAGTTGTCTGGAGAGCTGTACCCAGTCGATTCGCAATGTATAACCAGTAACAGGCAGAAAATTTATCGTTTTTTTGTTGCTGCCATTATAATTCCGTAAAGAAGCAACTAAAGATGCAATTATGACGATATCAAAGACCTTGCACACAGCTAAAGGACTTCGAACATGGTCGCATTGTTAGGAATTGTTGTGTGAAGCTGTGTGGTCATACCAAACAATGATTGCTACAAGGAAATTGCCGACGAAATAAAGGCTCTGGAAGGCCAAGAAGCACAAATGCACGGCAAGATAGAATGATTGTTCGCCAGGCCCAAACCACCCCAGCGATATCATTGTCGACTATTCAACGCACTACAGCCACGACTATACCTCCCGTGGTACCATCCACCATCTCACGACACTTATGAGGCGGAGTTACGCTCACAGAGCCTTTAAGATGTTTCCTTTGACCCCACAACATCATCTGGAGTGGTATTACAGCCATGATGATCGGCATCGCGTAGGGTTCAGCGATGAATTCCACAGATTTTGGGCACTACAAAATATCGCAGATCTGGAGCAACAACTGATGAATGTGTCGCAGAATGACATTAGGAACCTCTACCACTCCTTGCCTTGATGAATTCAAGCATGGCTGTTCGATCAACTACTAATTTGAACGCTCAATTGGTGATTATGAACAGGTACTATGACCGTGATTTTTTGATCATTTTATTATCTGTGTATGAGCTATACTCATATTCAATTTCATCAAAAACAACCTCTTCTTTCATGGTGCTTCGATTGTTTTGAAAAAGATTGTATGTTAGTCTTTCTGTTGTCATTTTCTGAAGGTGTATATCCACTAATGTGTGAAAAAATGCTGATTCAGTAATTGAGAATCGTTTTATTCTATGCATATAAGCCAAAATCTATTTGATACTATGTGATATTTTTGTGTTAGAGAAAAGTGAAGTATTTTACTTATTTATATGTTTGTTTATTTTTTTGCGTTATATTATTTTTTTCTTTCTAGGATGACAATAACAATGTTTGTTAGTGCTATATGGCATGGAGTACGTCCTGGGTATTATCTCTCACTTTTGGGAACACCATTATTGTTGATTGCAGAAATTGAAGTAGAAAAAGCTTTTCGTAAAAATATCGAAAAACACTGGCTAACGATTTATGATTATATATGGTATTGTGTTAAAATGTTTTCAGTATCATACATGGGTCTTGCATTTATTCTACTTGATGTACAAAGTATACTTAACTACTGGAGCTCTATATATTATATTGGACATTTTTTTACCCTATTTATGTTTTCTATAGCCTTCTTAAAAAATAACTGGCCCAGAACATACACAAAAAGAGATAAATTTTTGTCAGTAGAATCTAACAAGGCAAAATGAGGTTTTATATTTTATAACATCTTTATATTTATGATAATTTATGTTTTTGTATGATTTTGTATTAAATGTACATATATGAATACAATTATTTTTACGTATATGAATACCATTATTTGAGTAATTATATGGAAAGTATTAGTCATGCCACTTTACTCAATATAATGCTCAAAATAATTTTTCAGAAAAACGAAATGTGCAATTTTTGCAAAAACTAAAGATTGGTTATTAATTGAAAAATGTGTTTGTTTGCAGAAAATATTTTTCAATATTCTAGATTTTATGACATTGGTATATTTAACATAATGAATGCTTTTTATATGATTTTATACGAAATGGACATATATGAACATTATTATTTGACCAGCTATATGGGAAGTATTAGTCATTTACTCATTATACATAAGTGATCAAAATAATTTTTCAGAAAAATGAAAGATGCATTACTTACAATAGCTAAAAATTAAAAAAATGAACTATTGAAAAATTTTTATTTGTGAAAAAGGTATTTCATTATTTATCTTTATATTAATTCTGTCAAACAGCTTTTATTGAATCCATTACTAGGTCTGTATCTGTAATTATTTGTGTAATAAATAAAAAGTAGAATTATGTAGCAATCAAAAGAAACAATGCGAATTTGAAGTGATACTGAATATCAGATGTTATATAAAGTATGTAGTCAAACTATAAGAATTTGGTGAATAATAAATGGCTCTTTTGGGGGGAGGGGAGTTACTTATAGTTTATTTGGAATTTGTTTAATATCATAACAATATTGTAAAAATTTTGAAATAACTTATCACTGCATTCAAACCACATTAACTTTTAGAATGGCATTTGTGCTTCTTCATTTGCATGCTTTTTCAGATAAATTTAGGTCTTAACTGGTGATTTATTTCACCAAAGATCCTAATTCATCAGAATGTTGGATTAGTTCTCTGGTAGAGCTAGATGTACATTAATTGTCAGTCTTTCTAATACTAATGCCTGTAAAAGGATTAAAAATTAACTTTACACTTTAAATGCTGTATAATGTGTCCCCCACTTTATATTAAACCAGCTATATATTTGCTATTAGCACAAACCTTAGATGCAAGTTATTTGTTGTAGGATAAATTAGATTGAAATATATTTAAATATTTGAAATTATAGACATACCTGCTGCTAAAGTCATATAAATCTTAAAATATAAATTTCATTTTTTTAACGTACAGGTTAAAGTACTGAAAATATTGCTAGCATGAGATCACAAACATTAACAGATGATTTTACAGGATTTAAAAGATGCTATGTCTAGCAAATGGGAAGTGCTGTAGTGTGTTACCTGTTACTTCAGAATATCAATTTCAGTGCTACTTATCATGCCTTTCAGGCATGTTTCATAATGGTGATAGCACCTGTGAAGGAAGATATTTGAGTTCTTTAAATCTTCTTTCTTACTTCCATTTAGTGCGCTTTAATTGTACAATAAACCAAAATTATGTAGTAGTGCTGAATTATTCTGGCAGTCGAAAATAATTTTTGACTGAAACTGATTTTTTTTTTAATATAAATCCTTTTTTTGGGGAGGGATTGCACGTGAACAGTTAAAGGTTAGCAGAAAAGGACAAATCAAAACAAAAGGAATCTGTGAATCTCACTCATCCTTTTTATGATATTTTTATAACTAACAATCGTCATGGCTGCAGATATATAAATATCGAAAAGGAGGCTGAGCTATCCAAAAATCCAAATATAAGGGATTTTCCATCGGTAATATGCTGAGCATATTTTATCAGTTTTTGTATAGTAATTAATATTTATAGTACTCATTAAAAAGTAATTCTTTATTAATTTGGATTAATTTAAAATCATAAATTAAAATCAAATGATAATTTTATACAGTAAAATATGGAAGTTTATGCTAATTTACTACTTTTTCATACTATGTATTCAATTAAAAATATCAAACAAGTTGAAAAATTAATTATTTTTGCAGAAAATTTTAATGTGCACATACTATTAATTGAGAATGTATGTTTTTAATCTAATTAAATGTGCTTTATAATTAAAATAGCATTATTAGCTATTCACATGTAAGTTTAATACTCTTTTCAAACAACATTAAATTAATATTTGTAATTCAATGATTCTAAGTAATTCAGTTTGAAACATAGTTCTTCTAATTCACAAATATCTTTCAGTTTTTACTGTAGTTTCATTGTATACTAGGAGAAAAATTAAGCCACTGATTTTGGCACGAGACTGCCAAAAGTGTGAGCGCACAAAGAAAATTGTTCATTGGTGGATAAAGGATATCTCAGATCAGGCAGCAAAAACAAGTGATGCACTGTGATGATAGTACATATTACAATCATAAATTGAGGGTGTGCTATGACCTCATATGTCTAGTTTACAGTAACACTATAGGTAGGAATTAGTTTCAGTAGCAGTCACTACAGGGAGATGTGTTGTGCATAGTTAAAAGTGAAGATCATGGTTCTGTATTGCACTAAAACATGTTTACAAAACTGTATCAGTGATTTAAAAATCTTTTTTGAAGATTGTGGCAAAAATGCCTTACCATATATGTTGCTTGCAAGATGGGTCAGTGCATTTCATTTAGGTGAAGGTTGTCAGGGCAATTGGATTCCTAGGTCACCTGCACCTAGGTAGAATTTGCACGAGGTCACCTTTCTATCATGCATTGATGGACTGCTGGAGAATAAACCATGGAAGTTTGTTATCCAACTGTATGGAACATCTTAATTCCATTCATATTCCCTTAGTGCTTCCATCAGTCTTATCTTCTATCAGTAAATCATATCTTATCACTATGATCAACGGAAACTATCTTGTAGATAGCATTCAAGCTCTCACCTGCTTCCCAAAAGGTGCAGGATTTTGCTGATCGTTAGGTTAGGTTTTGTTTATTTTGTTGTAGCAGCACATGCAAGGACTCTCTGTCTAAGGGGAGGGAGGGCTTTCTAAGGGAAACTGGCTTGTGTCCATGTTATCCTTGGTGAAAATAATGAAAATGCCCATGTAGCTAGTGCTGGAATTGAACTACCAGTGTTCAGCAACTCTACTGTCGGGCCTCCTGGTGATTAGGTTGAAGAGATGTAGTACAGTTTTCAATTTAATCACATCACCGTCCTATGAAATTCAAATATTTGATTCTTTTTTTTTTTCCTCCAGGGGTAAACTTTTTCCGGTACTATTCCGTTTTGAGGACCGTCAAAATTTGCAGCGAAAATGTATGCACAAAAGCGCCAAATCTAGCATACGCGCCCATTCAACAGAGCGCCAAATCTAGCGTACACGCTGATTTCAGATTGCGTAAGTTTATATAGTTCTATATTTCTTAAGATGCCATTGAAATATTAGTTTAATTTTTAAATCCTTTTTTAATATCCTATGGATTTAACAATTTGGGAATTGCCCATGAAGAAAAGTCGGCAATAGAATTTTGGGTAAAGTGCAGAATCCCCCATTGTTTGACGCATTTTTAAGAATTGCACATACTCTGTATCCTTGTGCACATCGACCTATTTTCACTTTAAAAAAAATCCCAGAATTGCACAAAAATGGCACTGCGCACACTCTTGGCTTTATCTATGTACACATCGACCTATTTTCACTTAAAAAGTAAAAGAAAATTGACAAAAATCCAGTTGTTTTTACCTTTGTAAAAAGCGGCAAACAAATAAGTGAGCTATTCTGCACTTCACCGAGAATATTTTCAAAGAAAAGGCATCATTCATTATAGAAAATTACGTTTGAATAACCAACGAGATGAAATTATGCTTTAGCGATAAGTCGGTAGCGAAATAGCGATGCAGGCATCCATTCAGTTGTGTTTAGCAATTTTTATATAAATTATAATAATGATCTAAAATAGTTATTTACTCTTATGCTTCCATTCAGTCATGTTTAGTATTTTTCATATAAATAATATTAAAAAAGTATTATATAAAATTAACCTTTCATCTAAATTAAAACATCAATCTTAAATAGTTATTGACTATTATACTTCCTTTTTTGCCGCAATTATTTTTGGCAGCATTGGCATCAACAATAGTTTGGCGATTTTTTACGGCCCTCGAAACCGAATAGTACCCTTTTTCCATCTGGAACTGGCCTTAGAAATATTTCTTTCTCCCTTTTCAACTCTCTTTGTATGTCGATTTACCCTTGATGCAACCCCGCTATGTAAAGAGAATAACCAATTAAGCCATGAATCACCTCTTCTCAATTTCGTTACATGATCCCTAGTGTGTTTCTGGGGGCAAAGATGAAGGACACATTTAACCTCTGGGAGTGTGTGATGTTGCTGACGCCTGACCTGAATGTTCAATTCACTGAGTTTCTCTTGGGGGAAAACGGTGAAGTAGTTAAGTTCAATAACATATTTGGGCTATCTATGTTGTCATTACTTTATGTAAACCCCACGTTTATTTGAGAAATTAATTTTATATCAGAAATATTAGATTATATTATTTTGAAGATAAAGTATCATGCTGTCAGAAATTAATTTAAAAGCAAGGATATTCAAAGACTAATATAATTTCTTTGAATGTGCAGATTAGGAAAAGGGACTTTGTAGTGAATTAGTGGAGGGAACATATCATTTGTGAACATGATTACCAATCTGCATTTAAAAGTATGTGATTTCTGCAGTTTAATAATAGCTGTTAAATAAGCTATGAGCATTCATCGCTTTTACAGATCAAAATGCCCCTTTAAAAAAAAAGTTATTTAAAAACTTAACATGTTCAGTACCATGAGAACCTTAATTTTTATTTACTTGGTATTTCCTTTTAAAGAATATGGTTACTGCTCAAAACAGTGCTACATTTTTTGCCACCTGGTGCTGTCGCTGTGACTTCTAAATTCTGCTGCTGCATGCCTACAGTTCTGAAAATTTTGTCCCCCTTAGTTTTTGCTTCCTAATGCGGCCACTCTGACTATGACACTGACCCTTATTAACATTGAAATTCCATAAGATTTTGACATTGTGTTAAAAACCCTGATAATCATAATAATAATCTAATTACATCATCCCACCTGTACTATAGATCAGAAAGCTTTTGAAAATATTTCAAATTGGAACAAGAAA